ATAGAACACAATGGATCAGCTATCAGATCGGCGCACTCCCTAAGAAGTCGCGAAGATATCATATCTAAGCCTGTGGCTTTCGATTTACAAAGCTTAGACAAAAGTGAGAACACTTTAGAAGGATTAATACATTTTAACTCAAAACATTTGTCAGTTCCCTCAAGGTAATGTAGGTGTGATGGACCATTATTAGAATAAATCTGGCTAGCAAGCTTGGGTCCAATAGAAGAAAAGTGATTGTTGTTGAGGCGGGAGGAGGTTTCCACTCCTCCCGCCTCTCCCCTCTCCCCACCTCACTCCTTCCGCCTCTCCCCCCTCCCCACCTCACGCCATTGCTGACATTTTAAAAAATTAGAAAAAAGGCTGAGACATGTCGCAAAATCACTGTGTTATCTTCATGCACTCTCTAAAAAATTGCCATAGACTCAGAGCACTGACGAAGTACGCCCATTGGCCAGCTTTAATCGAAACGAAACCGAAAGGTTTATTCTCGATTGTCTCAACGCTCTCCTCAGCCTATAAGCATGACTGTGTCCAGTGCCTTAATTACATGGGATACTACCACTGCCGTATTCCTTCTCAGTTACCCTGAAGGATCAGGTCAACAAGAAATTACAGCTCTTTATTTTCACAACACATGTCCGTCAGTGCATGTCACCTCTTGCTTGTTCATTTAAAAGAGGAAATTCAAGACATGTCTACCCTTCAGCGAGGTCTTAATCCACATATTATGAGTTATTAAAGTCAAAGTATATAAAGTAAATGAAGTGGTTATTAAGCTTGTGGTTATTGTTTGAACTCCCAAAGTGCCCGGCCCTTGTCTTCCAGAGGGATATAAATGAGCGCCGGCAAACTTTCAAGAAGACTTGACAAGGAGCCGGGATGGAGTGGCCTCCCTGTCCTGGAGGAGTAACCATACTCCATGTAACCTCATGTGACAGACATTAGGATAAGCCATAAGCCGGGCTCGCAAGACTAAACAACATGTTCTCTTTCACACAGTATGCGTCTTAATCCGAAACACAATTGAAGATTGGGGTAGCCTTGTGTATTGATCTAGGGAAGATTCAACATGAACCGAAACACAATTGAAGGTTGGGGTAGCCTTGTGTACTGATCTAGGGAAGATTTAACATGAACTTCAACGTCAAGTGTTAACCTTTTGGACGACACAATACGCTAAATCGTTAGCATATACACGAGGCAGAGGTGTGGAAACTGAGATGAAAGAAATAAGAGTGACACAGAATCGTGTTCAGTTGAAGCTGTCGATTATAATGATGATCTACGCTCAAACTCGGATACACATGGCTAGGATGGCAATGATGATGATGATGGCTTTAAACTTGACTTTATGAGACCAAACCATTTTGAAGGAAGTCGTGCCCACAGTGGTCACTCAGCCTTTTGCACTGAAGCTTTCAACTCATTAAGTCTCACCCTCCCTCACTCCTCTGTCTGCCAGAGGAACTGAGTACATAGTCACGATCAGTCTTCGTTATCTTGGTAAATATTTCAGTTCTTGAAGGCGGTTGAATAGTTAATTGAAGTTGACATCGCAGCCGTTCTGTAAATGATTTAATCGATTCTCGCTTACTCTGGTATCCATGGTACATGAGGCTATTAGTTTTAAACCATTCACTAATATTCCACCAGGCGGATCATACACGAGGAGAGAATGATCCCAGTTAACTGAAATGAGAAAGACAACAAAAACAGGTTAGCCAGTGAGAGGCGCGATGATGCCTAATTCTAGTGCATTGCACTTGGTTTGCACTGATTTTCTAGTTCCAAAACCCGAACCACGAATTCATGCTCCTTCCCTCCACCATGTGAGTGTGGAGGAATCCCAGGGGTAAACTTTAGTGCACCTGATAAGGAATAATAAAATACACCGTAAACTCGGAGAATTCATGCAACTGTTTTAGGCTGTTTCAGTCAAGATGTATCGTTATTTCTTGTCAGTTATACCTGAATAATTAAAAATCTCTACTCGTGAAAGCTTTTCTAATTACCTGGATAGCGCTTAAAACCAATGCTATGAATCCCAGAACAAAAACATGGTCCCGGAAGAACACGCTTAACTTTGAAATGCAGCCCTGTGGGAGAAATAAACAATAAACCTTGTTAGTTTTAAGAGGAGATATTCCCAAAGCAGACGTAATTCAGCTTTTGTAAGTGTAGGGAACAAAATTTCCTTAGCACTAAAACAAAGATACCCAAAAACAAGTTAGGAAATTAAATTAGAGTAAAAAGGAACATATCCTATAATAACAGTAAGATTCCACTTAATTTTATCAGCTAGCAACCATCTCATTACCTCAGCCTAAGTTTTCGGTTTTGGTGAGAACTGTTTGGAAATAAGCCTTCCCAGTTACTGACCTCTTTATAGCCTGTCTCTACACTTGTGTTTTACTTGTTTATCTTATTACATTCATTATATAACAATACCAGTGATAATATATTACCTCATGGTAAATATTGGAGGGGTGGTCCCTCTTTCCACAGGCAGGTGTAATTGTCTTGCAACACGAATTCGGCACTGACAAATTCTGGTTCTCAGGCATCTGTTTCCAAGTAGAGTTGTTCCACGATGAATAGCTACTACTGCCACAACACATGTGCTGAAGAAAGAATAGTCACAAATTACTGGCTAACGGCAGACACAAAAAAATCAGTAACACATGGGCATCGTCGGTATTAACCCGTTATAGCAAAAGTGAAAATAGTTATAGAAAATGAAAAGTGCTAATTTTGATGCTTAGTAGTCTAAAAAGGACAATATTCCCTTTAGTTTTTCTGAAATGAAAGTTCGCCACCCCCCACTCCGCCCCTACTACCGTTTTTTTTTTTTGCATTGCGATAAGCTTGTGACTTTTTTGATCCCCAGCAGTACACCTGACTCGTGTCCGTCACATAGAGTCACACTGAACACTTTCTCACACGGTGTCCAATGTACTTCGGGATTGCATGCGGCATACTTAGTTTCATAATCGGTCTAGAAAACTTGTGTCATCTTCCCAACCAATCAGAAACAAAACTGAAACCTATCAGGATCTGTCCACCCTCGTTTTCGCGCGCTTGAGGCTACACGTAGGCTTCTTGACGACACTTATCTTTATCAAGCGCCGTACAACTAATGTGTACTATAATTCAGCAGTAAGGCGCCCGACCTGTATAAAGATGCTAGATCAAAATCCTTATCCAGTATGTTTTTCATTCCCCGGGGCGGTAAATGGATTTAACTATCTATTTTTCCTAGATCTGCATGTGCTGAGAACTAAGAGTTGATCTTCTTTACCCTTTGCTGAAGATCGTCAAAAGAATCCTTAACATCATCTGAGCTACCATACTCATTCATTCTATCAAGTGCGGATTTATCTAAATTCTCTTCAATCTGGAAAAACAAAACACGAACACAAATACAAACAAATTATCAGAAAATGGATTCAAATTTTTTCTACTTAATTCCTTTTTATCAGCAGTAGCCGACTAGGGGTGGTTTTCCAATAATGCGTAAGTAACGATATTTTTCGCTGAATGTGCATGGAACTGCCGTGTGACTTGTAGCATGCCTGCTAACATTATCAGATAATGCAGCCTGGGGATTTGTGGGCTGTAAAATTTATTTAAAAATTTGCTTACTTCTAACAGAATAAGAGGACACCCGTAGATCACAGAGAAAGAGAGAGATAGACATAAACTGGAACTGGAGATCAAGATACTGAACAAAGCGCGGGATTAACATAAAAATACTTACGTAAGATCGGTGTACGAATGCTGTAACTCCAATTGAGCATTCGATTATAAAGATTAACGTCAACAAGATCAGAAACTGCAAAAGAGATTAAAACTTAACAACCGAGAATAACAATATAATCAGTATCGAGTAATATTCAACTGAAATTATAAGGAAAGTCAAACGGATAACGCCTGGCTATTCAACTGTCAAATCACGGCCCTGTACGACGTACTGTACCTGAACTGCAGGTCTTTGAATTTGTTTCAGCTTGTGGGCAGCATTACTTCACCCGTGAGGAAGTCTGAAGGGAGCCAGCGAGAAGTCTGCAGGAGGTCTGGCGCTACTAGTGCCAGATCAACCGCTGACCTCCCACCAACTCTCTGCTCAAGGCAAAAAACTTTCTCGGCCCTGTACGACGTACTGTACCTGAACTGCAGGTCTTTGAATTTGTTTCAGCTTGTGGGCAGCATTACTTCACCCGTGAGGAAGTCTGAAGGGAGCCAGCGAGAAGTCTGCAGGAGGTCTGGCGCTATTAGTGCCAGATCAACCGCTGACCTCCCACCAACTCTCTGCTCAAGGCAAAAAACTTTCTCGCGGGCGAGGTCACGCTCGTGCAGCGAAAAAACTGTTCGACTAGTAAGTAAGTTTATTTCCTTTAAAAACAGGGTGGCCAATTCAGCTGAAAAACTTGTGGTTTTAAAAAAACTAAAAACCAAAAAAACTACAATATTTATAATCGAATTCTAATAAACACTTGTAGGCTAAGACCTTGTGATATTATAAAAAAAAATCTAATAAATACATATGTAGAAATGGATCTATATTACAAGATAGAAAAATATTAAACATTATCATACTCTTAAAATCTATGCAAAATCGTGTTTTATCACTGGTCGCTTAAAAGCCTTCAAAGACGCTGCGCATGCCTGTTTGCCCGTTTGGGTCTATTAACAAGCGATTCAGTTATCACGCGTGCGGCATCAAATTCTCTTTACGAATCGAACAAACTTAAGTGAAAACAGTCATCAGATTTGAGCCCTAGTCAGATCACTGTGTTGTGTTTTCGTTTTGTAGGAAGATGCTTTATTCTCACAAGACCTTCGTCAACCTGATGCGAGTTTTTAAGACAACCACACAAACAGCTAGCTTTACCTGTAACCAATTAGCATCGCCACTAGGAAGCGCATGGATACTTCTTATCCCTTCATGCCACAGAAGATGGTAAGGAGAGCTCAAGAAACTGAGCAAGTCGGTCCGTGGTATGCAAACTGAACACGTTGTACGGTTAAATGAAGATTTGTTCAAGCATTTATTTGTGAACAGATTTAGAAATACTACTTACCGAAATAAGCGAGTATCTGTGTTCTTTGACAATCCCATAGCAGCCACAGATGCATACAATCATGATGAGACCTCCAGTACCAATCATAAGACCGACTATTATTAGAAACCACGAGCTTCCCAGAAGCACATTATAACGGCTCTCAAACAATAGTGTCCAGGCTCCCACTACCACCAGAGCCACGCCACTCAACTGAGAAATTGAAAATTCATACATAGTTACACTTTGGTTACAATGAATATATGAAGTTCATATATTTTGAACTGCGGTATTAAATACGTATGATGCACGATTCTTCGCAGTAGATAGCGCTATTCATGCAATAGCGAAAATCAGACCAGAAAAAAATCAGGCCTGTACGGGATTCGAACCACTGACCTCTATGATACTAGTGCAGCCCTCTACCAATTGAGCTAACAAGCCAACTGGGAGCAGGCCGTTAAGTTGATTCGTAATAAACCCGTGATGATAAATCATATACAATGAATATATGAAGTTTATATATGTTGAACTGCGGTATTAAATACATATGAATCCCGTACAGGCCTGATTTTTTTCTGGTCTGATTTTCGCTATTGCATAAATAGCGCTATCTACTGCGAAGAATCGTGCATCATACGTATAGTTACACTTTATTGAGCATCGTTGAAGAATTTTTTTTATATCCAATTTAGATAAGATGGAATATTTAGGCTGTCCTTATGTCTTGTTGCCCGAATACAAAATTTGTCTAATGAATAGCGGTCACACATGGGGAATAGTGGGGCGACCGCTTGAAAGAGGTTCCACAGAATAGGGGGGATAATCAAAAACGATATAAAACGCATTTGATGCCATAACTGATAACTGACCATTTTATCAACAAATACTCGCGCAAAAATACAACTAAAATTGATTTTGGGAAACATAGATTAGATTTTTACATGGAAGATTATTCTTAGTTTTATCTGAGTGGTTCCGCTTTATAAGACCATTCAATATAGGTGGAAAACACACAGGTCGTGGGACTCATTAAAGGGTGACCACTACCGCGCGATAGTGGTAATGATGTAATTAAGGCAAAAATTACAATAAGTAAGGGGACAAAAGTTCGAGATTTGGACAACCGGCCACTTAATACTGGGCGACAGCTTATTACGGTTAATACAGATTCGACTGTAGCAAGCCGGGTGACAAGACAATTTTGCATCTAAATTGCATCATTGACCATAAGTAAAATGTCAAATGTGTTTGCTGTGCATGCTGTTAAAATTTGTGTGTTCCAAATATTGTCGTTTTGTTACACGTCATTCCATAAAATGAACTGGGACGCAAAATCTTTACGATGCTGACCATAAATGTTTAGTCTTCTAGTTCTTTAGTTCGAGGGTTGGTCTGAAGTGCCACTGAAACGAAATTTTCCTATCTGAGATTTTTCCATGATAATAAAGTGGCTTACTAACAAGTGCTGTGAGTTTTTTTTGGTCCAACGGAGCGCAGAAAGCTTTCTTCTAGCCCTTTAAACTCGGCTAGTCGAGCCCAAAATTGGCGGCCATCTTGGCGCGGCCAAAACAATGTTGTGACGTCACTGGTTGTATACATCTCAGAACTCCGAGTAAACTCCAAGTGAGCATGGAGTGCAGCGAAAATGTTAAGAAGCCCCAAAAAAAGTTTTTGGGCTAGTACTGTGCTGCTGGTGGGCCCGGAAATGTAAGTTGTGCTAATAACTTCAGAAGAGAGGGCATATCGATGCATATGTTTCCTCGTGACGATGTAACTCGCGAGAAATGGGTTCGCTTCGTGCGAAGACATCGGGAAAAGTGGCAGCCATCGAAAATATCAGTACTGTGTTCCGTGCATTTTGAATTGTCAAACTTTGAACAGCTACTCGATCTAAATCTCGGGGAAGGCTCTAGCTTCCTTCAAACTAAGCGATGGTTAAAGAAGGATGCTGTGCCAACCAAAGATGGTGTACAGCAGCAAGAAAATGCCTTGTCCTCGCGTGAGCAAAGAATGGTAAGTCGGTGCTTACAAAAGGTGCGAAATTCCGCTTGGCGTTTGGACGAGGAATGAATACGCAGTTTGTTGCTTTAAGAACAGTACGGTTTGTTAATGGAGAAAAGTCGGGATGGTTCAAAATGCAATCCGCATCGAGACCGATAAATGTAAACTTCCCTCTCGTCTGGAGTATTTCGTAACAGCATCTAATTTCACGCACCCCAGCTAAGTGTGTAACACTGCAATTTCCATACGTACACCTGTAAACAGAAATGTTTAGACTTAAGCCTGANCAGGGTCTGGACATGTTTTGAAGCCAAAATGCGGTTTTCAACACTAAAAAAGACAGTTTTCCACTTTTTTCTGGCGAAAACAAATTAGCCAACGATAATCAGCGTGTTTCAAACCACTAAATTATGAAAAAATCTCAGATATGAAAATTTCGTTTCAGTGGCACTTTAAGTTTTTTTTCCTTATTACTGTTGCTATAATATTATCAAAATATCCGACTTCTTCTGTAGCAAAAATTAGATCGAATTCGGCCAGAAGTTTTACTATGGGGTCATATCAAGTAAACACGGCGTAATCATGAGTTGTCTTTGAGCCTTTACACGTCCATTTCTGTGCTGACTGTAACTGAATTTGTCTGTATTTCTATGGGCTGCGTAGATAAATATCTTACCTCTACTAATAAGATCACAAATAAGGAAATTCATTCTATATTGATTAAGTGGAATAATTACAATGAAAACACGAGTGGATAACGAAACTTCTACTTTACATTTCCCTTGAAATGTAACTGAAATATATGAACCCTACAAATGATTTGAAGGGTGTCAACTTATATCTAAAAGTTGCTCTTTTTTAAGGTAAACTGTAACAGGAGCATTTTAGTGTTCTAAGATTAGCCACTATCGAAAATTCTTTGCATATCAAATTTTCCTGAACATATGACAAAGCACATCCTCATTAGTTTCAAAATTCCTTTGGTGCATTTTAACAGTTGTCATAATCATAGTCGGGCAGCTGAGTGGACTTAAGGCTAGACGTATTCATCATGACTCGCGAACTCTTGAAATCTATGAGAGATGTACAAATTTAGCAAGAATGTTTAGCTGGATTACTACAAGGAAACTTCAATCAAATGACCTTGACCAAGGTCATGTTTAAATTCTGACACATTTCTCTAGAATTCGGTTTCAAAACACCGCGTGAACTTTACTTATTAATTCAACCTTTCTAACCACTTCCCTCCCCTAATGCAAAAAGTATGCCGAAAAGACTTTGAGAGAAAGAATCGCTTCTCCTTGCAAGACAACTGACATGCAATTCTGTCCACACCATGAGAGGATAAAATATCGCAGAAATGAGTTTTTACTACTCAAAACTAGAATCTTACAAGGACCAATATTTGTTTCAAGACTTTTGGAGCCGACGGTTTCCGGTACTCATTAATACGAAACATTTATTAAAGCCATCGTCTGACGACAAGGCACTCAGGGAGAAAGAAGTATCAACACCCCTGTCGTATACACGGACAGTACATCATACCATCACGCGATAAGAACTCCTTAGCTTAATATCGAGTACAATAACAATTCTGCGAATGTTTAGTTAGAAAACAACGTTAAAAAAGAAACGAAAGAAAAAAAATCAGAGAACGAGCTGTATGACATACTTAGCACAAATCAGCCTGATTGAAATATGCTTCCCGTGGGTGTTGATATCATGTTTGTAAGCTGGGAAGGAGGAAATATGACTCGTGCAAAGAATTTCAAGTATTGCCGTATGGAACATTGAGCTTTTTTCATCCGAGTGGTACATTCATATCAGGACACTCTTGTGAGTTAGATAACAAAGCTTGGAATATTTCGCGTAGTTTATAGAAGTTCTTACGGCTTCCAAAAATCAAAACAAACACGAACTAATAACGTAATTAACACCTAAACTACAGCGGGTGGGTAATGAAGTAGTAGCAATCAAATTGCAGTTTATGCATATGGCTAAACAACAGCCGATTTAGATGGTATGGATATTCCATCGGTTATTTATTTTGTTAATTTTATAATATTCTGGGTGGCGTTTTTCACTGGAGTCGCACAGAGCAGACCATTGGTGGCTGTTAATTCAAAATGAAATCGCACTCGTGCCCGATAATAGGGACCTTAAGAAACCACGACGGCGACGCCAAGGAAGACTTCGATTAAAAAATGAATTTCTACTCTTAGTTAGAATTTCAAAAATGGCTGCAGGAGCTTACTGTCTCATACAGCGCCACAGCTCAACTTCAGCATGACGTATAAAGTAGCCGTTGAGTTCCAAATGGAAATTAAAATAATTTGCCGTCGCGGTTTCGGTTCGCAGACGACGCAAATTTTGGCGATTTCACGTTGTTGTTTTGCATAGGACGGCTAAGAAATGTACAAAGTTTCAAAACGCACGTGCTGAACTATTTTTCTGACAATTAGATCTCTTGTTTTTCCACGTCCTAGTTGCCGTCGCCGTCGTGGTTTCTTAAGGTCCTTATTCATGTTGAGTGCTGCAACATTCTGAAAGCTGAACTTACCCAATAAAAGAATGTAAACATGTGCATTGGCGCTTTGAGGCATCTTACACTACAGCATCTTCTTCTTTTTCTGTTCTTCAGCTCAATATTCCTCCAGTCGGAGAAGTCAGCAGGCACCATCGTCAATCCGAACTAATTGAAATACACTGAACTCCTTTGGTATGGCACCGGCTAAAGACACGAGGGGTCGGTCGCAAGTTCAGAGAGTGTTGGCAGAAACAAACCCACATTGAAGTCACTGGAAATACGAGATTAGATAACTATTGAGAGGACGTGATTGAGTTCATGGGAAGGAGAGTTACGATTTAGCAAATTTCCAGCAGGGTAAGAAACCACAGTGTTTTTCAATTATGTCCAAGGGACACTACTTCAAAATAAACATGGAAAGAAAGGAAATGAAAATCGTTTTTTGACAACTTTTGCTACATGAAGCGAAAAAGATATGCTGAGCATGCCTGCTCACCAATATCGATCAAAATACAGTATCTCCGCATCTCTAATTGGCGTTCGTGACAGCTTATAGAATACGTGAGGAGCTTTGATACCTAATAATTCTATTAGTAAATCTTAATTAAAAGATAATAAATCTCCGACACATATCACTCATTTTTCTGTCCCGGTTTGTAGCTAGGTGCCTTTGAAAGAAAACTAAAAAAAAAAAACGCCAATTATTTTTTCGCCCTGTTTAAAATATTTCCGTCTCGCTTAGCTCCCAGAGTGTGACCAGGATGGGTGAAGCGGTAAATTCTAAATCGAAAAACCGTGCCATAAATCCACAACTATCAATAATTCTAAAGAGGACGTAGTGGATTTTAGCGAACAATCTATAAAAATCGTCCTGAACACTCAAGAGTTGCCATGTAGCTCCTAACCTGTGCCTCATAGATAGATAGATAGACGTTTATTAGATAGATAGATAGATAGATAGATAGATAGATAGATAGATAGACGTTTATTAGATAGATAGATAGACGTTTATTAAGAAGAATACCTTAATAGCAGCTGGAAGCTGAATTGCAAAGGTGTACAAATTATGTAATAGAACTATACAAATAAATAAAATCAAACCTAAAAGGGAACTAATTTACAATTGTAATAAATGTTAGTTAAAATGTCTTGCGCTTGCTGGAACTGAAAGTATCTCTGAACCGATTTTTTTTAAAGGAAACTCTAAATGGTCTGCGTCGTCGTAACTCCATAAGTTGATCTCGGTTGTCGAAAGGCAGTAAGTGGTACAAACGATCCAAGGGATTGGAGACGATGTTGTTAAATAATCTTAAGCAAAGGTCTTCTCTCCGATCCCTTAGGGTTTTCAGCTCTGCCATCTGAAGCACTTCTCTATAATGATTATCATAACCGTATATAATTTTCAAGGCTCTCTTTTGGACACGCTCTAAACTTAAGCTCAAATAATTGGGGAGACTATAATGGTAGACCTGACATCCATAAAGTAAGACAGATTGAATACAAGCAACATAAAAATTTACTAATTCTGGTGATGGTACCTTAGCTCGCTTTAACTGAGTTAAAAAGTAAAGGCGCTTAGCGGCCTTTTTAATCGTCTCAGTAACGTGAGTGTTCCACTTGAGGTTGTCTTGAAAATACACACCCAGTAATTTCACGACACTAACGGCACTAACCTTAGAGCCATTAATTTCTATGAGATCGTAGGAAGGAGGGGAGCGCACAAAGGAAACTCTTAGCTCATTACATTTTTTCGGATGGAGTTGAAACGAGTTGAGTGTTGACCAGGTAGCTACTTCGTTTATCATAGACTGAGCATTGCTAGGACCACCCTTGCTTATGATTTCATACACTGTCGTGTCATCTACATATTTTATACAATCACTGGCTGATGGTACTTTCAAATCGTTTATCATAACCAAGAATAGCCACGGTCCCAATTTTGTTCCCTGCGGTACTCCTGCTCGGACCGATCCCCACTCTGAGAGACAATCATGTGCAAGTTTGACCCTTTGTTTCCTATCTTTAAGAAAGGCTATTATCCAATTAATGATGTAAGGGTTAATGTTGTAGGTCGAGAGTTTCGATAACAAGAGGCTGTGGTCTATCAGATCGAAGGCTTTTCTATAGTCCAACGCAAAGATTCGCACGGTGTTCCCCGTTCCGTCTGTTGCTTGCGCCCAATTGTGCATCAGATTTATTAATGCGTGCGCAGTGGAGGATCCTGGAATACACCCAAATTGATCGGGTTCCAGGCGTTTTAGAAGTGCTGGTTTCACATGTTCATGGACGACGTAGTGTTCGGCAATTTTGGACAACGTTGGCGTCAATGAAATAGGTCTCAAATCCTTCGCCGCATCCTCAACTATCTTTGTTTTGGGAAGAGGGGTGATGTTTGCACATTTCCAAATGTCCGGTAAAGTGCCTTGACTAATAGAGGAATTGATGATACAACGAAGGGGTTGAGCGAGTTCAGGAGCGAAGTCACGCAAGACCCAGTTTGGGATATTATCTGGGCCCCCAGCTTTGGAGGAGATGACCGTACTAAGGCATTTGAAGGTAGCTTCCAGTGAAATAATGGGATTTTTAAAACCCTCAGTGCTCACAGTTTCGATATTATCTAAAAGTGGGTCAAACGAAGCTTGAGGTTCCAGCAGAGCTGTATTGATTTCATTAGCCAAGATCTTAAGGTTGATTGAGGTAGCTGGTTTACTTGCTAGGAGCTGATTTGCGACACTTGTAGATGTTTTGTTCATTCCACATAACCGCCTACATTCGGACCACCACATTTTAGGATTGTTTTTGGTCAAAAGGCTGACTTAAGTGTTGTAACAAGAGCGTTTGCAGAGCTTCCGTTCCCTGATTACTTTGTTCCGGTAGTAGTGGAACAATGGTTTGTTGTCTTGGTAATATGCTCTTTGACGGTGTGCTATAAGTGCCTTGAGTTTGGGTGAAATCCATGGTGCGTCGTTTCGGTGGAACTTAACTCGCTTTCTGGGAAGGATAGAATCTAACCCTATGTGAATTAGGTGACTGAAGTGAGCATACTGTTCTTGGACGCTATCTATAGTGTCGATTAATGACCAGTCGAGCCCCGTCATATAGCGACCAAAAGCCTGTTTGGACTCAGCGTTAGCAGTACGTGTAGTAACCGTTCTGTTTGCAGGAATATTGGCCTTCGATCTAATTTTTGGAAACAAACCAGCAGTACAATGATCGGATAGTCCGAGGGGCGGGAATGGAGAAGGTTTCTCGTAGTGTTCTGTAAGATTAGTTAACACTTTGTCGAGTGTACGATCCCCTCTTGTTGGAAAATGGACGACTTGCGTGAGGCGGAACTGCTTAATAACTGGTGAAACATTTGCCCTGTTCCAGTCGCCAGCGAGAGTTATACTTGCGCCAGGGATATCACTCTCTATCCTAGAGAGAGAATCCATCATGTAATCAAGGAGGGGCTCATCTTTGGCAGGTGGTGGAGGATGGTATACTGTACCAATGATGAGGCAGCTATAACCCCGGGGAAATCGATTGGGCGTGATCTTGGCCCACAAAACCTCAGGTCCCTCGGGGTCAGGGAACTCACAGTCCCGTAGAATTGAGAATTTGATGGAATCTTTTACATATAGAGCCACACCCCCATGTAGCCTGTGGGTCCTATCTTTGCGTATGATGTTGTAGCCACTAATGTCAACTACGCTGTCATCAATAGAATCTTTCAGCCATGTCTCCGTTATACAACAAAGATCAAACTTGTGGGTGTTCAAAAAAATACGAAGTTCGTCTATTTTTGGCGCCAAACTCATTAAATTAGACACAGCTATTGACGGTACGAGCTCCTGCTAGGTGTTTTTGCTGCCGTCATACATCATGCATAATTCATTTCTGAGTCGTCCTCGCATTTTGTGTTTCTTTTTATGGCCAAAGTACTTAAAGGTTATGGCCAAAGGTTACTTAAAGAAACAGTGTCTCGGCGACGCGTGCGCTGTGAGACGTCACAAATTTTGAAAAAGGTGGGGAACCTTTTCCAAATTTCGTCGTCGTAGTTGGTAGAGGAGTTCTATCGTTCTCTATCTTTGCTATCTGCAGATAATTCTTTTCAAACACAAGTTATTTTCTTAAAGTAGAATCTGCAGTTCTTCAATAATTTGCCAGTGAGGCTACCCATAGTTTATTAATGAGACCAAAATTAACAGCGCTAAACCTCTATGTAATTTATCAACTCATACAACCGTACAAAGGTTACTCTCAGTATGAATTTAAGTTGTCGTATTCTTTTGTCCGAAAATTTTCTGATCCTCATTCAACTTAGACGGATACTATCGAATCGGGAAAGAGTGTCCATTTTGGACAAAGATGAAATTTTTTGTAAGAACCACAGAGCCAAAGTAAATATTTGAAATTTGAAGGTGAACTTGATGACGGTGAAATTCAAATCCATGTCACAATGAATTAATCAAGTACAATAGAAATTAACAACCAAATACGTATTATTGTTTTTGGTTATAAAAGAGTTTTTTCTATTTATATTTCAAACTGTGATTGCCAAGATGAGATAGATCAATAATTTATTTCAAATAATCAGGGAGAAAGTCATCTGATGTCTATGTGAAAGATTTTAAAAGACTTAATTACAACCAAACAAAATACTGCGGTAAAATATTCTTTTGTATGTGTTGTCTTCAATGCTTTTCTTCTCAAGAAATGTTTCATAGTCGTAAAAGGCCCGTTTGTATTGAAATAAATAAGCAAGTAAACTATTAATTTACCACCACCACGTTCATTTGTTTAATTTAAAAGTTACTGCGCAAGAAATTACAACCATCTTTTGTTATTAAGTTACTTGCTGTTTTTGAGAACTTGTTTGAAAAATTATGGTCTTTACCCAGCAGATTACCTTTCTGCACCTAGTTTTTCTTGTGATGCGATGTTGAAGATGACTGAAATCAAGTTGGAGTTGATGAGTGATATTGAAAAATGTTAAACAAAAGAAGACGAGAGTAAGAATCAGCAACACAGCACATCGTTATACAAGTGCAAATAAAAAGTATCTTACTGATTGTAATAAAAATGAAAATTTATCATATATAATTTATCTTGATTGAAATAATCCCTATGGATGTGAAATGATATAGCCTTTACCTGTCGGTTATTTTAAGTTTTTGTTTCATCCTACTGAG